TTGTGTGTTTGTGTGTTTGTTTGTTGCATTGTACATTTTGTACTATTTTTGTTGTTTGTATTTATTTACAATTGTAGTTGTTGTTATGAAATAAAAGTTTGTTGAAAATTATTTACTCGGTTGTTGGCTTGGCGCTGCGCACTTTTTGCATTAAATTTTTTTTTATTTTTTTTTTTAATTTTTTTTTTTTTAATTCTTTTTTTAACGTTAATTGCGTTAAATACAGCCTTATTTCTTTAATGTCAGTGTGATATTTGCGGTGTAAATAGCGTGTTAAATGCAAAACTACCCCGCTTGGTAAGGATAAGCGTTTGATCGTATGAGCGGGTGCGTTGAGTGTGAATTGTCAAGTGATTGAACTTTTACATATGTATGTACATATCGCTGTGCGTTGGTATAAATGCCTTGGCGTACTTTGTAAACACACAATACACATATTTATGTATATATGCATGTGTGTATGTGTGATATGAACTTTGCCGATAAGTTCTAAAGTAATATTGTGCGTGATAATTGCGTTGCTACGCCATCAGTGGGCTATGAAATGAAGCAGAAAATTTGAAAATTATCAAAGAGGCAAGCGGCAGCATTGCGTTGGCCAAAGGCTAATTGAATGTTTTATTTTTTAATTTTTTATTTTTGCAATTAATGTCAGTTATATTAAAGAGAAATCGGAGGTGTGTTGTATATATGTATATTAACGGTAAATATAAATCAAAAGGCGAGTGGTTAGCATTGCGTACTGCCATTATGAAGATCAAGGCACGAGCCCTGGTTCTACAAACATCCAAAAGTATAAAAATTAATTATTTTTTTGGAGCCTGAAACTAATCCCGAAGTAATTTTGTGATAGAATTGAAGGAAAACCTTCTAGTAAATGCTCAGTTAACAAGATCAGGAATTAAATCCAATCTTAGTAGGTCTCCGCTAAGACAGACTCTTTGGCCAGGTGCGCAGTCTTATTTGAATTACGTTTCAGTCCATTTTTGAATTTAAATAACGCAGCAGTTGCAGTCTTGCCCATTGAATGAATTACTGCCCTGCTGGTATACTGTGGTAGACTTTTTACTTCCCCATACACTGCTTTCAACATAGCGTCTCTCTAAAGGAATACAAACCGTATCAGTAAAACCGAAAGCGAAAACAATTTCTAAAAGAAGCCTGAAAAAGAAATCCATATTGCCATATTAGAGACTCGCTCTAGGTATACTACAGAGACCGGAAGCTGTAGTTGATCCAACGCCGTGAAAGCAAGTATTTTTAGCGCGGGCGAGAGACATGGTAGGAGTTAATAGACAAGAGTAAGCAGAGCGTAGTTTGTGCGTGAGCGCTACAGTGCAATCAACTCGAAATATTCGGAAATAGTCCGGTTAGCTAGCCCGAGAGAGATGCGAAAGGCGATTGAAAGAGTGAAGGAGTCTGAAAGGCCTGTTGGTAAGCGATAGAGAAGCTACGTCAACAGGTATGAGCCTGGAAAAAACGCAAATCATAACTATGGGAGATCATCTGCTTCCATGGAAAAATTGGAGAAGAAAGGAAAAGTTCATATTTATTTATTTATATGTATTAAAATCAGTGAGATGGCCGGTGAACAGGTCAAATAGAGAAAAAAAGTGCAAACTCTGAACAGCATTTAGCCATGGATTTACCATACTAATAAGTCTTGGGAATGAACAAGAGTCAGCAAATGCAAAATATGCTGCACAAGCCTTACTAGATTTCGTAGCCGCTGTCTTTTCATTCGTTGAACTATGTCAAGAATCATCATATAGCTCGTACAGCTCATCGTTCCATCGTCGGCGGTATTCGCTATTGCCAATGTGCAAAGGACCATAAATCATTTGTAAAACTTTTCTTAGAAGACTCCTAGAGCCGATTCATCAGATTTTGCGCCATCTGCGCTATATAGCAGAACGGGAACGATGAGGCATATGTAGAGTTTGGTATTCATTCGTCGGAAAAGGACTTAACTTTTCAATTGCCTACTCAGCTCAAATCAGCACCTGCTGGCAAGAGTGATTCTGAGTTGGATTTCCAGGCTGACATTGCTGTTGTTACTGAAAATTAAATGCTGATTATTGAGTTTCCTCAGACTGTAATTAATAACGATAAGTTCTTGAGCGAGTTCAGAAGTGTTATTGGACTTCAAAGGGCATCCGAATAAAGTAGCTATGTGGAAAACAAAATTAAATACTTATTTTTAAGACTTTAAATTAAGATTTTTTGAAAGGGTAAAAAAGAAAAAATTCCAAAACAAATTTTTGTTTTTCAAAAAATAGCAGTTTTCCTTCAATTTTATTCAGTAGTCTTTAAGAGCAGTAATCCATTGATATGCATTGCATGAGTGTACGTTATGTACTTTGAATATTTTATGCCAGTGGTTCAGTGCACATGTGTGCGCCTTAAAATAGATTTGATTTATTCAAACTAATAAAGTTTTGCGTTCAGCATTTATCCCTGCCCGACTTAAGCAACTGTGAACTTTGAAAGCGGTTATTTGAGTTTCTTAAAGTAAAATAAAATTTGCATCTCAACTCACTATCTACATATATATATATGTTTAAAGTGTGAGTTTATTCAACAATGTCTCCCTCTTGGCGTATATGTACGGCATGGCGTATACGCAACTTTTACTACAATATCTCATACATACCTACACGTATTTACGCATGCATGTGCCCAATGAATAGCTCATTTGCATTGCTTTATAACTTAAATGAAATCAGTTACGCGCAACGCATCATTAAATAAAATTTTATTTTCACATTTAAAACCGCATCAATAGTGGCAGCAATGCAAGCAAATATTAAATGTAATCTTACACGTATGTATGTATGTTTCACTCAACAGTTATTGCCCGGAGGCGCAGAGTTTGTTGATGTAATGAAAGAAAGGCGCTAAATTAATTTTATGACAAAAAAAGCATTTAATTAAGATTGAAAATTATAATTAATTAATTAATTAATTAATATTTAAATTGTATTTAATGATAAAATTTAAAATGAAACTAAACTTAGTATTGAAATAAAAAAGTATAAGAAAATAAATTAAATATGAAATTGAGATTAGTACTAAAATAAAATTAAAATGAATCTAAAATTAAACAATAATAAAAATTAAATATGTAACTAAAATGAAATTAAATTTAAAATTATAACTAAAACTAAAATTAAAACTAAAATAATGAAAATGTAAGAAAAACTTCTATTTTCCTTGAAGTTAAAATAATAATTAAACTAAATTTTCACTCTTTCCTACAATGGAAATTTTTGAAATTTCCACTTATGGCTTTTTACCGAAAATATATATACATATATATATATATATTTTTTTTTTTCAAATTTAATAAAGCCCTCTAGTGGTTGTAGCGGTTTAATATGAAACAAGTGTCTGCAAATGATATTTATGTACATGCACATGCACTTTCATTCATTTTATTTACTGATTTTTCATTTGTGGTTGTTCACTCATACTCATATATATCGGCCCTGGAGCCTTCTTTCTTCGACAAATAAAAATTGATTTTATAAATACATAAAATTAGTAACATAATTGTGTTATAAAAATTTTCATAAGAATTTAAATTTAAATACAACTAAGGTTTTTTAAAAAACCCTTTTCAAAGAGACAGGACTCTAAAGAGAACTCAGATACTGTTGATATTATATTAAGGACATACCAAATAAATGTAACTGGTCTTTTGACCTCAAATGAAAGCATCAGTTAGTGGATTTACCATACTACTTCAGCCATTGAGCTAGAGACATCTGTAAAAATAGCTACCGAAAAAAGGAATGCCAAAGTGAAGGAGAAAAGCTTCTGCTTCCAAAGTGCCTCTTCATCCTGTTCTTCATTTAAGACACTAAAGTGTATTTTGAGTTTTTTGACCCCATACTGTATATCTTTTTCCGTGGCTTTGTATGTATATCCTCTATTCAATAATTTATATTCTATATTCTATATTCTATATTCTATATTCTATATTCTATATTCTATATTCTATATTCTATATTCTATATTCTATATTCTATATTCTATATTCTATTGGCTTATTCTATATTCGAAATTATTAATTTAATTAATTATTTCGACAATATTTTTTTGCACTTCAAAATCACTATCCTTTAATACTCAGCTTTGTTAATTATTTTTATAAATTATGTATGTTGTAATGTAATGAAAGTGTAATTGAATGGAATAAATCTATGTTCATTCACATAAATGAAAACGTTTATTCATTTAATAATAAATTAATTGTGACAAGGATTTTAAAGCATTGAAAATGACGTTTCGGCCATAATTGACAGAATTAATATCAACGCTAATGAATTCATTCAAAATAAATACAAAAGAATTAATATCAAATGGAGTTTTATAATAATATTTATTGAAGGAAAAAAACTGCTCTCTTTAAATCTGAATATGAAAATAAAAGTAATGAAATTACAAAACCATATCCAACAGTTGTTGTTTTTTTTTTAGATAACAAATTTATGTCAAATAATTGTATTATAAATATTTGTGGGTTAAATTGGAGCACGTCTTGGATAAGACAATGTACAATGTACGCCCAAATGTAGGCAACGTTTTATATGTATTGCGCTGAGGCAGTTAGTTATGGGTTATGGTGCAGCTCTTGGCTAAGTAGCCGAATTTCAATATAAATTTAACACACGTAATAAGAAGTTCTTGTATGTATGCGGAGCTGGTAGCAATGACGTTTTAACCCAGAAAGCAAGAGTTGATGGCATAGCAAAAATTTCAAATTAATTACGTTGAGTTTGGTAGAAGTGCTGAAGCCCAAATATCGTATTAAAATTGGTGCAAATATGTGAGCAAACACAAATTAAAGACGAACATGAACATCATCATTTTAACGAACGCTACGCATTAATGCTAATCTTTTAACCCTTAAAGTAATAAGCTTGAAATCCAGCGCTTACAGTTTTCTGCCGGTTTTCGTCAAGCAAGAAACACGCAAGCTTTTTTCTGCTACTTACCCGTGAACCCTCGGAGGTTGTGACACAAGTGCCACCATTATAGCAGCCCATTTTGATGCAATCAACTTCAGTGGTGTTATCAATGCCACCGACAGGCGTCGCGCCACCGCGAGCAATACCTGTTTCGCCGCCCGTGCCTACCGTATTGGCGCTCTCAACCTCTTCGCTGCTGGCCATTGTCGTGGTTACGGGCTTACCACTTATTGGCGCATAAGTGCTGTAGACTGGTATAGAGGGTGTGGTTGGTGCTGGCGTCCCGGGTGGTGATGGTGGCAACGTGGTGTAAGAGGGCGCGATTGTGCCCGGAGCAGGCGCTGGTTCTGTGGGTGGAGGATAAGTGACCGCCACTGTGGGCACCGCGGCGGTTGTGGGTGGCGATGTCGGTGGTGGCAACGTTGTTATCGGTAACGCGGCGGGCGTTGTTGGTGGTAGCGTGGGTGGCGATGTCGGTGGTATGGTGGGTTGTGGTGGAGGCTGTGTAGTTTCCGCAGACTCTGCTGACTCCTCAGACACCACTTGTGTTATTGTGGGTATTGCCACTGGGCGTGGAGTGGTGATATGTGAAGCCAAATCTTCGGTGTATAGCGGTTGTGTAGTGGTAACCTCACCAGCCGGTGGGGCTGCAGCACCAGTTGTTGGCACGCCTGCGTATTGTTCACGATGTGTGGTGTGCTCGACATGCGGATAAATGTGCGTCTGTGTGGTTTGTGATGGTGGGGTTGCTTCTACCTCAACGCCGCCACCGCTGACGGGTGGTGCATGTGTTGTATGATGATGGTGATGGTGATAATGATGATGCACTGGCCGTTCAGCGGTCACACCTGTCGGTGTCGGTGTCACAGTCTCGGCACCACCAATTTGTGGCACTAATGTACTGCCCACACGTACGATAGCCGTTGTCGGTGATGCAGATGGGTAGATGACGGGTCGCCCTGTAGTCCCCATACTCAAGTCTTTGCTTGTGAAATCTTTGTAACGTGTGGTTACTGCCAAGTCGGGGTATTCGGTGAAGAAAGGCGCTGCTGTCGTGGGCACACTCTTGTCCGTCCAAATGCGGTGCGGTGTGGTTACATCGTGATCTGGATATTCAGGATACTCTGTGGGCAAATGTTTTCCCGCGAAATCGGGCAGTATATGTACCGTAGAGCTGGGAAAGAGTATCGCTGGTGTGGGTCGATAGGTGGGTCTAGCGGTGGAGTAATCAATGGTGAAGGTAGTTTCAATGGTAGTAACATAATGTTTGAATGGCGGACGCGTAGAATATGTTACGGCTGGTGGGCGTTCTTCGGATTCAACACTTTTCGAAACAGCCGAAGAGTCGGGTGTGTAGTCTGAATCAGCGCCGCTGGCGGTCGTTTTGGCTGTAGTAGGTGGTGCGCCTGCATCACCGCCACTCACATCCACGTGCGATGCTACGGTGGTATCCTCTCCGGATGCTCCAACCTCAACTGAGGCGCTGCCTTCGGAGGAGTACGACGATTCCACGCTGCTACCCGACTCGATTGTGTACGAATGTGACGACTCTGTGGTGTGTGGTTTTTGCTCTTCGCCCTCTTCCTCCGAAGTGGTTGCAGCGCTGCTTGCTGTAGTTGCTGTCTCCGTTGGTGGTTTCGGCTTCTCCGCAGCCACACTACCGCCTGCCCCTTCTTCCATCTCTTCGGTCTCTACAGAAGTAGAAGCACCTGCTCCCGCCACACCCGTCGTTGGTGTCGTTGTAGTCACCCCAGCAGCTGCAGACACATGTGGTGTTGTCGCTTCCGTTGGCGTCGTCGTTATTAACACACCCGCAGTCGGTGTCATTGGCCTTATGATTGTTGTCGGTGGCATTGTCGATATGCTCACTGTATAATTGCAATCCAACGAATCTTCGCCAATCATCAAACACTCGCACAACATGCCCGTTAATAGTGGTGGACACGAGCAGGAAAACGTGTCAACACCATCAATACAAACGCCACCATTCATACAACGCGGCCCCAACTGACACTCGTCATACTGATATTCGCACTTCTCGCCATGATAGTCCGGCACACAATAGCAGGTCGGTATGCCCTCCTCCATCAGACATAACGCATTGTTCTGACATGGATTGTCCGCACAAATGAGTATCTCCTCCTCGCAATTGTTCCCCGTATAGCCCATGGGGCAGGCGCATACATACGATGCCAGTTTATCCACACATACACCGCCATTTTGACATGGCGCCGATTCGCACTCGTTGATCTCCTCCTGACAGATGCGTCCATGCCAGCCAGCAGTGCATTCACAAGAAAACTCCAGCCCGGGCCCCTCAATGCATTCGCCACCATTCTGACAGCGTGCGCCGGTGCCTGCAAAGAGACGAGAGAGGTTTATGAGTATGATATGAATGAGTGAGTGAGTGAGTGAGTTTGAGTGGCTAATAACGAATATGTGGAATGTGGAGTTTTTGTGGAGTCTCCGTGTGTGTGTGTGGGTTGAATTTTGAAGTATTTCAATACAAAGTAAATTATGAGTGCGTGTGTGTCCACCAATGTGTATGTATGTATACGTTCGTTTGAAACTAAAAATGAAATTTTATATTTTCTGACATTCACATTGTGGCCTCGATTGGCTCCACTCGCATACAACTCGCCGCACACTTACCCGTCTCACAAACGGCCACATCAACTTCACAATTGATGCCCAGGTAGCCCGGCTGACAGGTGCAGGTATAGCCATTGTTCCGATCACGACAATGTCCACCATTTTGACACGGATTGGACATGCACTCATCCACATTTTCCTCGCAATTGATTCCTTTTGTGAAAATGTTTTCCAATTTTTGTTGTTGTTGTTGGCGTAACGGATACATGAAAATAGAATGGAAAGAAAGGAAAAGAAATGTAGTGTGAAGGAAAATTCAATTAACAGCGTGTAAAATAATTTTCGATTAAAACTATCGGCCGACATATGCCTGTGTGTGTGTGTGCATCTCGTGTGATTTTCGTTAAAATTGGCGACAATTATATAATATATAAAGTGGCTTAAAATATAGTGAGGAAACGAATAGACTACTACAATGGGCTGGGAAAAAAGGGTGCTCCTTTTTGTATATAAATTGAGTCACCCCCGAAAGCTTTTTACTATCTCTGAATATTAGGGAAGAATACTTCCTTTGACTGCACTTTGTTTGCTTCCTGATTTGATAAAAAAATAGCGCTGAGAACCAAAAATATTTCCTAAATTAATCTTCTATACAAATTTTCAATTCATACGTTTTATTATTTCCAAATTGTTGCTGAAAAATCATTAATTGTCAATTAACAGCAAAATAAAATATTCAATTCCGACAAACAACCCAAGCCTTTAGTTTACTTTACACTTACAAAAAATAGGAAAACATTTTAATTGCGCAAGAAAAGAGGCTTAAATTAATGAAATACTGTTAATTGTCAATTAATGAACAGTGTGAATACATTATTGAGAACTTTTTTTCAGGAAAAAACTTTTGGTATAAACTTCGAAATGATTGTTCTGGAAAATAATAATAATAATACAAATGAGCGTCTATTACTAATTAGTTAAACAATAAAGAATTGCATTTCTTGTCTTGAATTGTTCGAAATATTGCTAAATGTCTATTAAGTGTTTGTGTGAACGTGATAATTAGAGTTGCTTTGATGTAAACTGTTTGCACAACTGTTAAATTAACTTTTAGGATGAAAGTAATCCCACAAAGAACCATTAATAGCCAATTAGCAGAAACGAAAATAAACACTAATTTACCAATGCACCGTTAATTGCCAATTAATTATTTGAAGTAAACTAAATTAAAAATTTATTCTCAAAATTTTCAAATATTTCTCTTCTTTTCTTTGCAGATTCCATTGAGTTAAGAATTCGAAGGTAAGCAAATAACGAACTTGTGAATCTAAGTGGCCGCGCAGGGTGAAGTTTTGGAGCTTCGAATAAAATACCGTGGAAAAGGCTGTCATAAAAGTCTTTACTAAATATAACAAATAAATATTTAAAAGAATTCAAGTGCTCAGAGGTCAGTTTTTTGTGCGGCTATGAAAATATTGCGATGAGATCCAAACGCGTGACCCTGGCGCCAGCGCCCTCTGTCTCACTACAACTACTAAGAAATTACTACGGTTGTCGGTGTCTGTAGTATATTTAATTTGTTAGACTTTTCTGTTTTTCATTTATTTTGAAACCTTTGTAGACAGAAGCTGTGCTAAAAAATTCAGAAGTCTTTTATTAAAAGCGATTCTATGCCTCAGGGAGGAGAAGAGAAGATTCTATTTATCTTCAATTGCAGAGAGGCTAAGCTGTCCTACTTTAAAGAAGAAGTGAAGACCAACCCAATTCAAGTAAAAGCTATCCACCTTTAAGGCAACCTACTCATTGCTGTTCTCTTTCTTAGCGGAGAACGACAATTTTCTGCAGAAATCGAAAAATCGCTGAAAAAACAAGTTTCAGTCACGGGATAGACTTAATATGTATCAATAAAATTTTATAACACTAATTTCCATGAAATCGAATAAATTTTCGTCGCTATCTAGTTTTTCGTCCTATGTAGCAAATTTTTCACTTTTCACTCCCCGCTTGAGTCAAGATCGAAGTTTGAGGGCATCAAGCAAGAGAGCACAATTAAACTTAGTCGGTTTGCCATATTAATAGGTACTAAGGCCTTACCTAAATTTGTTGATGTATGTAGTTATTGAAATACACATAATCTTATACCATCGATAGTGCAGATCTTCTTTTTTCAGGCAGATATATAAATATATATGTATGTATATTTGGAATTGCTACAGCGCTTTTCTGGGGACTTTCTATCGAATAATTCAGAAACTCATCAAGAAAACTTGACCTTGATGAATAAAATAGCTACGATGAGTTCCAAGCATCTGCCAATACATGGGTTCCTTAGCTGGAGAAAGCTTTTCTATTTAATTTGATAAAATTAGTTAGATTAAGTTGCAGTTTTTCAACTCTACTTAAATATTTTTTTTAAATCCGAACGATTTTTGAATTTCAATAAGAAAGACTATTGCATAACCTCCACAGAAATAGAAATAAAATTTACCAAAATAAACTTATATATACCAAATAAAACAGAAATAAAATAGAAAAAAATATTAAACAAAAAAATTTTAACTAAAGTAAAGTTAGTTTAGGTTTAATCGAAATGAAAGCAATTAGATATGGTTACTCCAACCCGAGTCATATTTAAACGTATGAAACACAACTCGAAAACAGGGAAAGTCAATTGTCTCAGCTGAATGACACTCTCTGGAAATTGCTTTTCGGATAGCCAAGCCGCATTAACAGCCCTTTAGGGAAGTTCTGTATCATATTATAATGATTTTCGGATCGTTGCAATGACCAAGCGATAATTTTTCTTAGCGCCAACGACAAAATATAGATATTTCTTTAAGGTTTAAGTAAAGTAAACTAAATAGGAAAATGACTTAAGTTGAAAGAAGACGAAAAATAATACCAAAATCAATAATGGTTTTGAGTATTTTGCATACGATTTATACCAAGATGAAGAGGTATCCACTCCACTCCATCATTGCATAGAAGTTTGTTTTGGGAAGTGGAAGATCCTTAACACTTGAATGCAACTGAGTTTTGGAAGCTATATAGATTAACTAACGCCAGATTTAGTTGACGGAATCGTTTCTCAACTAGATACACAACTAACAGTTTTGACACTATTTTTATATTGAAAGAATCCAACTGCCTTGCGATTCTTTGTAACTGGATGCTATCAACGCCCTCATTGGAGAGCAAAGGGGAATGTCCTTGAGTCAATCGTCAATAAGCCATTGTATTCATTGTGTAATAGATGCAATCCATTGTTCGACGTTTTCTTCAAAGGTTAGATTTCCAATTGAGCAAATAAAACGACAAACAATGCATCACGAATTCTCGACTCATCAACGTCTCCATTATAGTAACAAAGTTCATTATCTTTGTCTCAAGATTTTGCGGCGAATGCTAGGTACCCAGGAACGCTAGGAGCCACGTGGCGTAATGCTTAAAGTGTAAACCAGAACACGTTTTTCCTATGATAAACTTTGTTATGCATTGCAATTCATTTAATAAAAATAATTGCTATAACGACCCGGCAGGGGAAGATACTAGTTGTCAACTAGAATCCAATTAGTTTACATTTTTACACTAACTAGTTCATCTTCATCCATTTTCTATGTAAGAAGCAACTGGTATTGTTCCATTATGCAACAGCTCCATACTAGTTTAATACTAGTTCATTTAGGCATGTTGTCACCTCCACTTTTTGTAATTACAATATGTATGTGCGTGTGTACATACGTACATACATATGTATGCCTACAGTGGCTGTTGGTCAAACGCCTACCAACAACCACACACGTCAAAACAAACTACCGCACAAAAAGGAGATGACAAAAACTAACAAAGCGACCGGCCAGCTTAGTGAAGACGGCGTGGGTCGCTAGCTACGCACAACAACAACCTACGTGCAAAGAAAACAAAACCAAGCGAAACTTCCTAACGCGATAAACAAAAATTGCGGGACAACAATTTAACAGCAAATTCGAACTACTCAAAACAATAAAACAAAATATGTTTTTGGGGTGCACCCGAGGTGTGGTCCAACCGAACTGGTTACGAACCCACTC